TTTGACAGTGTTTACACAAATTGGTGACATTAGTCAACATTTTTCATAATATGTCAATATTCTCTTTAATTACATCTGATTATTCTGTTTCTAGTACTCTAGTTTCCTAGTTCCCTTATTTTTTCATCTTTGCTTTAGAGTAATTGTTGACCATTGGTCTCTTAAAATGTTTTTTAATGAAACACCCTACTCACAGTTAATATTGTTCCACTGACTTTTAATGTTGAATATTTTAAAGTGGAAGTTTGAAGTCAGTCTTTCTATTTATAGACTATATAGTTGAGTTAATCATGTCAACTGGATGTTGAAAGTATTTGTCTTTAAAATTCACTAGCTTTACTAGAATGTATAGTCATGAATGGAATTTTAAAATGTGTAGATTGACATCTTTTATTTCTAGAATTAAAAAATATATATCTCCAATTTTTTTTTTTCAATTTTCATATTGTTTTCATATTAAGGGATAACACGTATCTAAATGTTAATCACCCTTTGCTGTCTTCTACATTAATGTTTCTGTTTTAATCCTTCTAAATGCTTATTGATTTCTACTGAATTTTGTCCATTTTTCTCAGTCCTATCATCCGAATCTCTTACTGGGTTGTTAGTTGTTAGTGGTATCTAGTCTTCATTAAGTTACTCCGGCTTTCTTTTATGGACTGGTTTTAGAAATTATACTTTTAGTTGGAGCCCTGGTATGATGCTGTAGGGTAAGCACTTGGCTACTAGCCAAAATATCCACAGTTCAAACCCACCAGAGCACCTCAGAAACCCTACTCAGGTGCTGTCAAGACAGTTCTGATTAATACAAACCCTAACAACAACAATATTTTTAGCTAATTTAAGGCCTTTAGATTCTGATAGATATTGTTAAGTGCCATCGAGTTGGTTCTGACACATAGTGACCCTGTATAGAGTTTCCAAGGAGCGACTGGTGAGCTTGAACTGCCAATCTTGCAGTTCAAATGGCTTTGCAGTCTGTCGCATTAGCCCGTAGCGCCACACCAGGATTCTGATTGGAGTCTTATAAATAAGTAGTTGGGGCTATGAAAAGAAAGCTTTGAAAGAAGAGACAGATGCTTTTTCATATCTGCCCAGTCTGCTCTTTGGACCTATTTCATTCTCATTATATTACAAATCATCAGACTTTCCCTATGTTTTCTTTTCTTTCTCCTATGTACTCATCAAACTTCCTTGTCTGTTGTTGTTGTTGTTAAGTGCTATCGAGTCAATTCCGACCCATAGCGACTCTGTATAGGGTTTCCAAGAAGCAGCTGGTGAACTTGAACCACCAACCTTGCAGTTTAAACAACTTTGCAGTCTGATGCATTAGCCCACAGCACCACACCAGAACTCTGACTCCACGGCACAACTTCCTAGTAGACATTCTTTAATTTAATTGTATGTTGTTATGGATGTTTCCAATTTGTGGGTGTAAATATTTTTTTTTCAAGATTATTTGATTTTATTATATGAAAGCAGGGTTACATATTCTTTCTAGAGCAGATTGATAATTCTTTACTTAAAGGAAACTTATGAGGAAATCCTGTATAAATGGTTTATCAAGCTTTGTGGTGTTTTATTAGGTGCCAGTTGGAGGGAAGTGTGCTAAACTGAGGGAAATACAAATTCAAATGGTCTTTGGTCCATTTCATTTTTTACCATAGATATGGGGGGATTGCAGTGGCTGTGTGTGATAGTCACTGGACTGCAAGCAATAAGGTCAGCAGTTCAAGCCCACCAGATGCTCCATGGTAGAAAGAAGAGACTTTCTGCTTTTGTAAAGATGGAAACCTTAAGTAGGGTTGCTATGAGCTGGAACTGACTGGATGGCATACAACATCAACACATGCAGATACGATGTTGTTGTTGTTATGTGCCATGGAGTCGGTTCCGACTCATAGCGACCCTGTATAGGGTTTCCGAGGCTGTAAATCTTTATGGGAGCAGAAAGCCTCATCTTTCTCCTGCAGAACAGCCGGTAGTTTCGAACTGCTGACCCTGATGTTCGCAGCCCGATTCGTAACCACTATGTTACCAGAGCTCCTTTGATAGATGCTTTTAAAAAATACATACTTCTTAAGATAGTGATTTCTCATTATCTCTTGGGAAGTGGTAAGGGGCTTAAGCATCACTTTGGGCCTTTTAGGGGGACATGGTTCACAGAGAACTTAGTCAGTGACTGATGGTGCCCATATAATTTCTTGTCATTCAGTTGTTTCCACAATGCCTCTCTGGTGTGTGTGTGTGAGAGTCTGTATTCATGGCAAATGAGAAGAGGAAAAGGAATGGCATTCTTATGGGAGACACTACCTGGAATCTCAGATTCTCAAGGCTGTGGGAGAGCTTTCCACTCATCATTACATTTTGCAATGTTTGTCTTGTACAATAACCAGTGGTAATCGAGGTAGTGGCATGTTCCACTATTATCTCTTCCTCTGTGCTATGCTATGCTAAGTGCGCTCACATTTCCTATCTCAGTTATTTTTTTGTCCTGAGAAAGATTGCATGAGGCTTTTCCTATTAACTTATCTTAATGATACGAATCAGAAGCTGAGTTAATTATGTCATATGACTATTAAGTAGTAGAGTAGCATTTGAACCCAGGACTCCAACTCCAAAACTCATGTCCTTAATGACTGTTATCACTGTCTCTAATGATGTTGATTAGTCTTAAAAGTCTTTTAAAGCTAAGTAAAAATAGGCTCTAGAGTAAAAAATCTTAGGGATTTTCGTATTTACATGTGCCCTCCCATCGTATCGTCCGAGATGACTGACACAGTAGCTGTGACAGTGAACTCAAACACAGCACCTGTTGTGTGGATGGCACAGGACCAGGTGGTGTTAGGCCCTGTTGGACATCGGGTCTCAGGAGTTGGAACAACTTGACAGCACCTAACAGCAGCAACAGAAGCGTCCTAGAGAATCGGATTATGAAAGGAGAAAGAGTGGGAGAGCCCATATTTTCCCACTGATAAGTCCATGCAGGGACTTTGCTTGAACATCCTTTTTCAGACAGGGTTAACTGTCAGGCCTCGAGTTCCCAAATTAAATGGAATCTTTGTCCCAAATTAAATGGACTCTGAGACAGGAACCATTAGGAATGAGGCAGAATGGTTAAAAATTGTCTGTGTTTCCCATTGTTAACTAGGAAACGTGCCCTTACGCCAATTATAGCCCAGCTAACATCATGGTGGTTTTACTGGAGAAAGGTAATGACATTAAACATTTACTCATGTGGATAATGGGAACTGTCTTGTGAATTTCACTGTAACTTTGCAATTAATGTGCTGTTCCCATTGAATTTAGCTGAGTGTTTTGCCTTCTGGACATGATAGAGACAGACTGTCTTATTTGTGGTTGTTGTTGTTGGTTATGTGCTGTGGAGTCGGTTCCGACTCATAGTGACCCTGTACAGGGTTTCCAAGGCTGTAAATCTTTACAGGAGCAGAAAGCCTCATTTTTCTCCCATGGAATAGCTGGTAGTTTTGAACTGCTGACCTTGTGGTTCACAGCCAGATTTGTAACCACTACATTACCAGAGCTCCTTTACCCTCTCAAAATTTGAAAGCAAACAAATTTTTTTCCCCCTCAGTTCACGCTTGTCTTCTGGATAACAAACCTACATTTCCACTTTCCTTGTGGTACGAAGGCAGAGTCCCATAGGTCCACACTTAGGCCTGCCACTTGGTTTGCCCCCACTGGCTTGTCTTCTGTCCAGAGGTGGGTGCACTGTCACCATGAAGTGGCAGTGCTGAGCTGTGGCAGGAAGGCCCCATGTAGGCAAACCAGGCTTTTCTGTTTCAGTCCAGATGTCTAAAGAGCAGAGGTGGCCCAGTGATAGAATGCTCATGTTTCGTGGGGGAGTCCTGGGTTTGAGTCCCAACCAGTGTAGCTCGGGTGCAGCCACCACCTTCCTGCCAGGGAAGGCTTAGTGTTGCTGTGGTGCTGACCAAGGTTCATGGTGCTTCCAGACCTAGATGGGCTAGCAAGGAAAGCCTAGAAATATACTTTGGAAAATCAGCCAGTGAAAGCTCAGTGATCACAATAAATCTCTTACTGGGTTGCTAGTGGTATCAGTTTAGCCCTAAGTTACCCTTGCTTTCTTCCATGGACTGGTTTTTAAAAAGTCTAGACTTTTAGCAACCAGTGATCACAACAGTCTGACCCACAGATGATCACAGAACAGTGTTTCCTCCCTTATGCCTGGGCTTGCTCTGAGTCTGGGCCAACTTGATGGCAGCTAACAATAGCAACTAGCGTAGTGGTTACGAATCGGGCTATGAACCTCAAGGTCACCAGTTTGAAACTACCAGCTGTTCCGTGGGAGAAAGATGAGGTGTTCTGCTCCCGTAAAGATTTACAGCCTCGGAAACCCTGTACAGGATTACTATCAGGGTCGCTATGAGTCGGAACCGACTCCATGCCACTTAACAACAACAACAACAGCAACTAGATGTAAATGAAAGTTGTCTCTCATTCCTTTCTTTCCTGTTGGGATGTAGGATTGGGAAACAGTCATTTCTGCCAATGTCTGCTTATAACACACACTTAGAAGATCTTTGTTTGCATTCTCTCTCAAGATTGATGCCTTAGTTAGCAACCTGTGATCTGAAAACAAAAGGATCACTACTGCACGAAAAGTGAGTCCTCAGATTTGGGGCCAGCTAGTGAGGCCCAGGGCACTGGATTGAAGGGAAATTATTCCTGTGTTATTTTGGAGAGTCTTGTTCTGAGGACAATTAAACAGTCCAGACAGGTTGTGGGGTGAGACCAATTTCCTGGTTTGTTTATTTGAGCCTGATTGTTTTTCACCATTAAGCAGCAGGTCACAGTCCTGCTACACTGTCGTCCCAGCCTTTTGGAGTGCAATCCCTTTCTTATTTGATTTCTCTAGGTTTCCGTAAGGATCCTAGTTACGGCTTTCTACCAAAGTAAATTCCATTGATAATAAAGCAGAGGACCATGTCAGTGTTTAATTTTGATTTCATCCTATCCAGGCATTTGGTTTTATGTCCCGAGTGGCCCTACAAGCAGAGAAGATGAATCATCACCCGGAATGGTTCAATGTGTACAACAAGGTAACTAAATCATCTTATTTTGGGCTTATCTTAAATGTGGAACATAAGGACCTTCTTTCCTCTTTATCCTTTTCAGTGCAGATAAATGTCATTGTGCTTGGGGAAGTATTCTCTGACCCTTTTGCTTAGAATCCCTATGTAGTAACAAGTTTTCAGATCTGCTCATGCAAATAAGCTCTCTATTTTTTTGTCTTTTACTGAAACTGTTATGAAGAAATTGGGCCAAATTAGGATCCCAAGTTAAACTTGAATATCAGTCATGCCTATAAACTAAAAATCCCTTTAATATAAATTATTAGAAGAAACAGTAGCAAATAAGATAGCAAATAAGATATTTATATATCTCATAGAAAAAATTTTCTCAAGACCTGTACTTTAAATAACTACTATTTACTGACTACTGTATCTTACTTAAGACAAAACTCAGACTAGAAAGCAGTTTTATGGGGGCACAGTGAGACGAATCATATCCTCCTACTGCCCCCAAAAGTGACAGTCATGCCATTTGAAATGCCAAATCATTCAGATTGCGCTTGGGCAGTGGGAGAGAGTATTTTTAGAAGTCTTCTTTGAAAAAGGAGAACATTTCACAGATACATTTGTGATTTATTGGAGTAATTAAAAGCGCTAGTATCAGAGCTCAATGGCACTTAACAACAACAAAAAAGTACCAGGATAAACTTTTCTTTCCTGGTTGGTTGCCTTTCCTTGCCCGTAATTTTGCTTTTGCTTATAACTGATCTGTCCAAAAGTGACACTCTGCCACTAATTTGGAAATGTGCCTTTTAAACATCATAACTAAGATATTACATTTGATAGCTTGTATGTCAGTGGCCTGAAAATAGTCTGTGTAATTAAGGTAATGAGAGTTCAAATGGAACTTTTATTGAAAAGAAAGAAGACTTGAGATTCTATTACCTGGATTGCTTCTTTGTATGAGAGAAACTTTTTGCTTCTGGATGGCTGCTGGGCCCAGTCTGCTGCAGACTGATTCCCCTGGAGTTTGCCGGTTTTGGAAATGCAGTGCCTATCCATAATGTAGCATTTTCTAAATGATTGAATCCTCCAAATCCCCAAATTTGAATGTTGTATAATAGATTAATTTTTGAACCACCAAAGGATAATACCATAAAGTACAACTCAAGAGTTTTAAAAACTGCATCTTTCTTTCTCAGGTTCAGATAACTCTCACTTCCCATGACTGTGGTGGACTGACCAAGAGGGATGTGAAACTGGCCCAGTTTATTGAAAAAGCAGCTGCTTCTGTCTGACTTCTTCCAAAATGCATGTAAATCTGATACACATCGTAAAGGCAGTTTACATGAGCAAATTACATTGTGAATTTCATTTATCTTTTTTTTTTCTTTTCATTTACATATTTTGTAAAATCAGTGTTTAAATACAAAATGATTTAAACTTGATCCTGAACTATTTTTCATTACATCTAATGACATACATAAGGTAAAACCAGTCCAGGTAATTGTATTACTAATATTTGAAAAGTGAAAATGACTCTTAAAGATCAGAAATTGGGATGGGAGAGTATTCACACATTTTATAACCACCCCAATTGAACCAACTATAGTGACTTTACAAATACAATAATAGAGAAAAAACCCAAAAAACCCTGAAGGTATAATCATTTGGATGAAGCTAAAGTAACTTTGGATTGTGTCTGTTGATATTACTTAAGTCATTAGGTTACAGAGAAGTCACAGAAATTTGGTGAACCATCTTGAGGTGTTTTACTCTTACTTTAAAAACAGTTAAAAGAGAGGACAAATGTCTTGGCGATGGCTTCCAGCATACAGGATTCGCTGTCACAGTGACCAGTTTTTCAGGTTCATGTTTGATTTGCTGAATTAAGATGAATAGAGAATCATTTCTTCCCCCCTGCCATTTACATGATGTGTCCCTGAACTGGGGTCTCTAGCTACTGAGTTAGAAGCTACTTGGGTATTAACCAGTAATTAGTTAACCAGTAAGGAGCTCTAGCTACTCTGTGTGTCAGTGACAGGAGTTAAAAGGAATATCAAAGTAGCCAGTTTTTTTAAAATTACAATTACAGTGTTATCTTAGGCTAGGTTCTCTAGAGGAGCGAAATATTGTAGTATACATATACAAGGGGGCTTCACAAAATCTTGGAACAGTTCCAATATTTTTAATTCAATTTTTCCATGATGTTTTTGAAGATCCCCTCATGTAAATATTTATTTAGAGAGGTGTATTTCAAGGAAGTAGTGCACAAAGTTGAGACTGGCAAGCCCACATCCCTGGGTCAGGCATCAGGCTGCAGACTTGACTCATATGGTTTGTTGTTGTTAAGTGCCATTGAGTCGGTTCTGACTTATAGTGATCCTGTATAGGGTTTCTGAGGAGTAGCTGGTGGATTTGAACTGCCAACCTTGTGTTTTGCAGTCTAGTGCTAATCCGACAATGTCAGGGGCTGACAAACCCAAAATCTTCAGGTTAGGTGGCAGGCTACTGGATCACATCCCAAGACCTGAGGTCCGAGGATAACGAGTTGGATGCAGGATTGAGAACAAATGAGCTTTGCCAAATGCCCATTTATATTGGATTCAGGCTCACAAAATGGAGGTTAATTATATAATACTGAGAATCATGGCTTAGTCATGTTGGTATATAACATTACCTATCACAGTCCATGCATAAGGTTGCTATGAGTCGGTACCAACTCGATGGCACCTAACAACAACATCACAGTCCATCCCTTGTCAACTTGGCACCTGTACACTTAAATCTCCTTCAACTATACATCACCTCTGGATAAAGACAATTGAAAGTCACACTTGTGCCTAACATGGTACAACTAATATGTGTACAACTGAAAATGCACTAGCGCTGTTTGCAGCTTATGTTCTATAATAAGTAATGGAATAAGAGAGGGAAGAAAACAAAAGTTTTTACTGTACACATACACATTTATCTATCTATAGATACACACAAATATGTGTATATACACACACATACATATATACATGAGAGGCCTTCAGCACATACACACACACACATACACACACACATCTATATCTGAGGCATATTTTGTTTTATTGCTTTTCACTTTATTGTACGTCACAGATTACTGTGTTTTTACAAATTGAACGTTTGTGGCAACCCTGCATCCAACAAATACATTTATCAGTGTCATTTTTTTCATCAACATGTTCCATTTTGTGTCTTTGTGTCTCCCATTTGGTAATTCTCACAATATTTCTAACTTTTCATAATGTGATTGCATTCATAATAGTCTACAGTATGATATGATAATAACTTTTATATACACTAGTACAAAATGGTGCAAAGGCCTGCCTGACCTCTGGTTACACAAAGGAAAAGAGAATGAAACTCAAAATCATCCCAAGGCAGATTCCTATGAGGTGGAGGTCAGACATGCCTCCACCCTACCACCTTCTTTACACTATCCTGACACTAACCATTCCTCCCACAGCAGTCTCGACTTTTCTGCTGGGTCTGATAATCCATTGCAGTGGTCTCATAGAACTCACAGACCATACTCATGATTGTGGGGTTTACTAGGGAAGTGATCAGGATGCAATTCAGGTTCAGAAACAACTCGGGATACAGAAGTTCTCCAGTTAGGAATGCATATTCTTAGCTATAAGGCAGGCATAGCTCAAGCTTGGCCTCATTCTTAGCCTCTCAGCCATGTGGTCTATTTACCTCTACCCTGCTCAGGCAAGTGCTACAAATCTCCTTTAGCCAATAAATGCACAAAGACCACATTCTGCAAGCCAGCCTTCTGCCCAAAGGCACTCAGTTTCACTCTTCCATGGTCAAGGAGCCCACTGCTCTGTGTCTCCATGCTGCTGCTTCTGCTGCCTCTGCTGCCAGCTCTGTTGCTAACACTTCTCTGTGCAGGGATCTTGAGTTCTAAAGGGTGTGCTTCATTTGTAACTCTTTGTTTTTGATGGTCCTCGGATCGTCTGGTCTGCTTCTGAGATGGCTGCTTTTAAATCTAGCAGAATGACAAAACTAGCCAATCCCACTATAGAGTCCTGTACACCCTATTTGCATGGCTCTATCCGATTATTGGAGTCCTGTGCTATTGTAGGATCAGCATTGGACTGTTAACCATTAGGTTGGTGGTTTAAACCCACCAGCCGCTCCTTGGAAACCCTATAGAGGGAAGCTCTGAGTCAGAACTGACTCGACAGCACTTAACAACCACCACAAGGAGCTCTGGTAGCGTAGTGGTTACGAATCGGGCTGTGAACCTTAAGGTCAGCGGTTCGAAACTACCAGCTGTTCCGCGGGAGAAAGATGAGGCTTTCTACTCCCGTAAAGATTTACAACCTCGGAAACCCTGTATAGGGTCGCTATGGGTCGGAACCGACTCGATGGCACTTAACAACAACAACAACAACCCAATCATTTGATGGGAGTTACAAAGACCATGGTAACACAACTAGGAAACCAAAACTTGGTGTGACTCACTTTACTGTGATACTTGCTTTGTTAAAATGGTATGGAACCAAACTCGCAATATCTTAAAGGTATGCTTGTGTTGTTGAGTGCCGCTGAGTTGGTCCTGACTCATAGTGACCCTGTATAGGTTTCTGAGGAATGACTGGTAGGATTGAACTGTTGACCTTGCAGTTAACAGTGATTATACTACAGCGCCACAACAGGTCTCTTGCATGTGTATAGATGTATTTACATACATATGTACATACATATAACAAAACAAAGAAGAAATATAAGAGGGCTTCAAAAAATTCATAGAAAAGTAGAATTAAGGATATTTGAATTTTTCCACAGACTTTTTGAAGCCCCTCATATTTACAGCAATTGCATTCCTCATTTCTGCAACTGGTCACATAGTCATAACTGGTATTTGTTGTTGTTAAGTGCCGTCGAGTTGGTTCTGACCCATAGCGACCCTGTATAGGGTTTCCGAGGCTGTAAATCTTTACAGGAGCAGAAAGCCTCATTTTTCTCCTATGGAACCACTGGTAGTATCGAACTGCTGACCTTGAGGTTAACAGCCTGACTCATAACCATTATGCTACCAGAGCTCCTTAATTGGTATTTAGAGCCACCTTTTCTACCACTCATTCTATGTTCTGTTTGTCCTCGACACACCTCAGGTAGTATTAGTTTTTTACCTGTTGAGTTGATCTAAACTTTCTTTCCTGAAGGGTCAAGGCCTTTAGTAGCAGTCATGTCAAAATTGGTTTGCTGTAATTTTCTATTGACTTTAATTACAGGAAATGGTCGTACTAAGAAATACCTTAAGGAATCTCTTGTATTCCAGACATACTTTTTTTTTTTACTTTCATTATATAATATCAATCCAATTTCCCCATGGTGATCAGGATCAATAACACCAGCCAATATGGTAACTCCCTGGTTTACTTGTTGATCCAGAAGGAGGAGGAGTTCAAATTGATTTGGTTGTCCAGTGGTGAGGACTTTCGTTTTCTTTACATTGAGATGCAATCCATACTGAAGACTGTGGTCTCTGATCTTCATCAGTAAGTATTTTAAGTCCACTTCGCTTTCAGCTAGCAAGGTGGTATCATCTGCATATCGCAGGTTGATAACGAGTCTTCCTCCAACCCTGATACCAAGTTTTTCTTCATAGAACCCAGCTTCTCAGATTATTTGCTCAGTATGCAGGTTGAACACACCTGGTAAGACTAGTGAATTCCATGAGCATGGGCCCATTGCCATACTTCGTTTGGTATGAAATGAGTTCCTTGACCTGAGTCAGTGCTATGTGGGATAGCAGGATGGTAGATAGGCTTTCTGTTAGTCCCTGGATGGTAGTTTTGGCAGAAGTATTGTGTGCGGGAAGGCAATTCCATATCCAGAGTGTCTATCCCAGTAAGAACAAATTCTGTCCTTTCCATGATGGAAGTTGTTGTTGTTAGTGCCATTAAGTTAGTTCCGAATTACAGAGTTTTGACTTATCAACCCTTATATAGGGTTTCTGAGGAGTGGCTGATAGGTTTGAATTGGTGACCTTGCAATTAGCAGTCTAGTGCTTATCCTACAGATAAGCTGCACCAAGACTCCAGATGGAAGTGATCCAATGTAAAAATCTGCCACGAGGTTTCTGGTAGAGTTGCCCAAGAAATGGTGCCATATTGGGGATTCATTGTTTGTCTCAGCTGCTGGCAGACTGTGCATTCAGTAGTGGTTGTAGCTAAGTCAGTCTTGGTGAGTGGAAGTCCACGTTACTGAGCCCAGGTGCAAAACTTAATTTCTTCCATAATAATGAGCATCATACTGGTCCCTATGAGGTGGGGATTAAAGAACTCC